AAAACGGACACCATTTTTGTGCATCAAAAGCATCATCCCAGCCTAGCCCAACCCAGTCCAGCCCAGCCTATCCCCAGCCTGACAGGGGTTGAGTCGAGTCGGAAGTTGAGTCGGGTTTGAGGTTGTGTCGTCGCGTGTTGGGTTCAGGGCATTTTGGTTGAACACCACCGCCTGCCGGGGTGGGAGGGGGGGAGAGAAGGGGGAGGGGAGGGGNNGGAGGGGGGGAGGGGGAGTATGTAGTGGAGACACCTGACTCACCCAAGCTTCGGAAAACCCATACGCCACAGGAGAAACCATCACAGCACCGAGCAAAAACGACACCAGCATGCGTCCCGCAAACAAATACGTGAGTAGTAACCAAGTCACCATTTTCAGCCTGGATCGACTGAGCGTCGCCTCAGAGGGTACCTTGATGGCCTTGTTCTCGATGTTTTGCTGCAGCAATTCAGACAACTCTGGACCATAAATATAATGCAGACTTCGTACCATGACCTGTGATAAGGATTTAACATTCGTCACCAGTCGCGACAGCAGAAGGGCTTCCAGCAGGCAGCTAAATTTGAACTTCGTCGGATCACGGCCCTGTGAGCGGTGCTTCCCAGTAGAATCTTTCAAGATGTCCTGCACCGAATAGAACATGATCTGTGCTATGCTCTTCGGGACAAGTCAAGTCCTGAAGCTGAATTGAAAAATAAACCATAAACCATTAGCCATCGAAATTGAAGAAGCCGGAAACCTGCCTAAAGCCGAAAACTGAGCATAACTCAAAGGTTCCACGCTATGCTATGCAGTTATCTTGTCCTTGGCATTGCTCAAGTATGCGCGGCATGCGCCTTGTTGTACTGGATCCGCAATCCTGCTAGCTGCCAACTCCAGCGTTGCCAGCGCTCGGTCTACTTCTGCATCTGAAGGAACGGGCTGAACGGGCGCTGCCATGATGAATGTGATGAATCTTGAAGAACCAAACCGTTCAATCGTTCGTTCTCTAGGAGGGGAGCTTGAACTTACATTGCATGACCCTCTGGTGTTGTTGAGGCCTGGGGCTGGGATCTGGTGTTGACATGATATTGTCATAATGGTAGATTCAGGAGAGCCACTCTTGCAACTTCCATCTTTTGCACGTCTGCGGATTTGTGGTTCAGCAGATTTAAAGGCTTTGGTTAGAGTTTAGCTTTTATAGGGAATAGGGTTCGGTTTGGGGGGCGGAGGCCTACAGTGTAGGAAGTACAGGGAGTTTGGCGGTGGAAGTACCGGTTTTGGGGTGAAGCTGGAGTTCTCGAGCTTGGAGTGTTGGGTTTGTGGGCTTGAGGGCTTCTTCGACCTGTTGAACTGTTGAGCTGGTGGCCGGGCCTGGCAGCCGAAACGCTGCATGCCGCCCGGATTCGACGTTGGAACTCTACCGCGCGATCCTTAAAAAATGGAGCGCCAATTTGAGCTTGCTGAATTTGCCGGCGTCCCTGCCAACACTTCTGAAAATGCTATTTCCTGTGAAGAACGTAACACCCAGACCCCTGCAAGTTGGCACACCCTGAAGACACGAAACGAGAACGAAGAGCCCACAAAGGGAAGCGCAGCTGCTCTGAAAGAGAGGCCCTTCACCAGGAAAGCCAAGCGAGGAATTGAAGTCCAAAAGAGGAGGCCTGAAAGAGAGAGAGGGGCCAACATCGCCAATACGCGGCCCTTCACCTGGAAAGCCAAGCGAGGAATCGAAGTCAATCTCAGCCTCACGGGAGGATGGTCCGCGAAAGTCCAAACGCCAAGCACACTGAAGAGATCCTGCATAGGACCTTTCGGAGGCCTGCCGACGGGCTACGCTCTTTGCGCAGGGCAGGCATGTCACAGCACTGTCACATGAGGTGGCAAAACGCAAGGGGCCCGAGCGATGCGCAAGGGAGCACAGCAGCCGATAAATGCATGAACACCCCAAGAAATTTATGTGCACGGGTCTTGGCCACTTCCACACGCGCAAAGTGGCCCACCCCTGAGAGAGCGCAAGGTCATTCACCAGAGGAGTCTCAAGACCTTCAGTGTCGAGGCGACAAGAGGCCAAGGCCTGGGAGCGAAGGGACAGGGCAAAGTCAAAGGCAGCCGCAGCTTCGAGCCACACTTCCTCCTCAGGCCCGGCGTCAGGGGGTTGCCTCAGGAGGTCGCGGCGCCAGTGTTGCACCAAGAGGGCCCGGGGCGGAAACCCCACAGTCACGAGAAGCTTCTTGCCTGAGGCCTTTCCGAAAAGGAGCCCACCAGACCAAACCTCCCCTTTCTTGCGGACGAGGTGAGGTGCAAAAGAGGCGGCAGAGTGAACAAGCGCTGCAGGTATCCCATGTCGCAGGCAGACGTGCAACAGAGCAAAGCAGTTCGCCGTGTACCGGTTTGCGGTGGACTCTTTCTTCGAGGGCCGGCGGTCAAAGGGGTTTCCCCTGGACCTGCTGCTGGGGCTGCGCGTATGAAAGGTCGCGAGGGGAAGGCAAAGCAGAGTGAGTCCAAGCGACCAGACTCGACAAGGAAGGCAGCCCATTCAAAGACGTGGGGGGAGCCCAGATTGCACTCAACGGATACCCTGGTGTCGATGCAGGGCCCGGTCGTCCAGCCTAGGGCCTCAAGGTCAGAACCTTTCAGGGAACCCCAAAACTGGAGGTAGTTGAACCGACAGGCCGGCGGCCTCTTTGGAGTCGAACCTTCCGTCGGGGGGAGTCGGGGCTCGTAGTCTGGATCGATCCTGCGAAGGGCCGGACAGAAGGCGTGCGGGGTGGCAGCCTTTGAGGTCGAGCTCCACAGGACCGAGGTGACATCCTTGCTGACAGGGCTCTGCACAATAGTTTGGTGGGACTCCGAGGAGTCAGTGGCGAAGAGCTTGTCAGGTCAGGGGGCGGAGACATCACTCACAACCAGTTGAGAGAGGGAGGCCCAATTCATCAGCAATCGGCCGCGGCAGACCGATGACACGAGGGCAGCCTGAGTCGACCTCCGAGGCGTCCACGAAGGAAAACACTCTGTCAAAGCATGGAAGCAGAAATCAGAGACCATTCTTTGACCAAGCAGAGGTGCAAAACATCGCTGGTCTTTTTTAGCCGACAACTCTCGAGAGTAATGGCGGCTAGCCCGAGGCGCTTGGCCCTCGGGGGACCAACTGTGGCCAAACCCCTAGCACGGGCACGGGTGGCGACGGAGGCATCCAGTTCAGGGCCACCCACCGTGGCACAACAACTGCCATCGATGTCCTTCTCGACCGACCCTATAAGACCGGCTCTGGCATAGATGGCCCGGGCCTGGGCCAAGGCACGGGAGCCGCCAGACGCAAGCAGGTTGCCATGTGCCGAAGTAGCGATTTTCGACTCCAAGCGAGTCGCCCTGAAGAACGGCGCCGAAGCATGCAAAGAGCCTTTTGTGAGGCGCGCCCTGAAAGCCTTGAGGTCTGACACTC